TTTTACCATTACACAGACCCAAACCTTAAGCCAAAATTATGTATAATGCGGCCAAAATTTTGTCGATCACAGCCGTTAAAATTAGCTGCCCGATACGTAAGTATCGGAGCAGCATTTTGTCTCGAATCAAACATTAGCTGCTCGATACATCAGTATCGAGGCAGCTTTTGTCTCGAATCATGTACGTCGACCAAACATGTGATAGGCCCGGTTACGGTCACATGTTCGATCGATTAGTGATTATTGAGTTTCAATTAATGGAACGAAAGTATGTGGTAATTTGAGTAATGAAAATTTGATCATTGATGAGAGTTTGATCTATGAAGTTAGTTGTAGTAAGAATGAGGTAATCGAGTTAGTATGGGTAATTAGGTTAGTATGAGGTAATTAGAGAAGTAGTATATTAGTAAAGCTTGAGAGAATAGGGGTCAGTAACTTTGTCTTTTCTGCGAACCCAACTTTCGTTCTGGTTAATTCGAGCACTAATGAAGTTATTATTATTTTGTTAAAAGAATGACAAATAATTTAGAAAAGAGTAAAGGTACAGTAGTTGAGGAGAATAATATGGCACAGTCTAATAATGATAGTGAACCGTCATGTGGCCAAGTCAATTTTGAAGCAAATTTTGGCCGTTTATCTCTTGAAATGTTAAAGTTTTTGTATCAAGGGATGGGTGTTTTGGACGTAGGTTTGAAACAGGATTTAGTAAGTAGATTGGTTAGTGAGTGCAAAGAAAAAGAAGAGTCATGTAGTGGATTGTTTGGTAAAGGCAAGGTTGTGAATTTGGAAGATACGAATTTGGATGAGTCTGGTTTCTGTTTGCATGACAGTGGTCTTTTTTTCAGGAGCAGGATCTAGTAATGAAAGACACGAGACAAATAGTTTGGAAGCTGGTGCACAAGGCCTTCATCATTTTTGGCATGTTCCTGTGGAGAAAGAAAAGGGCTTAGTCGATTGGGATACTGATGAGACGGGTTTATGGAAGAAGCAGAATTTGTCAAAGGCTAGGAATCAATGGGAGTTCAACGAATGGTGCAAGGTGGGGATGTTGATGGACAAAGTGTTGAGTATGGGTGAGATGGATTATTTACTTTTAGCAAGGCAGGTTGCATTAGAGAGGGCCTATGTGGTTAGAATGGCAGATGAGGATGGCTGGGGTGTCACTGTGAAGATGGTGTCTAATGATTCAGTTGATCCTATGTCACAGATATTTGGAGGGAAAAGAGAAAGGGTCAGATTAGCAACTCAGATGTTTTCTAAGAATAAAAAATCAAAGGTTTTATATGACAAGAATCAAAGATTTGAAGGACAAGTAGGCAATATGCAAGGAGTTTTTTCAAGTATGCAACAGAGTCAACCTGTGACACCTGTATTCATTCAAGCTCATCCATCAGTTTTACCAACCTGGCAACAGATATCCAGCCAACAAGGGTTGGTACCAATGGCTCCAGCTTTGGGAGTCAGTGATTTAAATCCTTCCTTTGCAGGTCAGCAATCAGAGCAGGGTGTTTTTTCACAAGATGTGTTTCCAAGACAGAGTAGTAGGTTTTTACCTGTACTGGCAAGTAGGGGCTTAAGTGTAGGAAGGAGAATGGACATAGGAAAGAATGTTGTGTGTTTTTTGTATGAAGGGAAAGGGCATTATGTGAATTAGTGTAGTTCACAAAAGCATCTGAGTATGCCCTTTCAAGGTGAGAATGCCAAGCAGAAAAGGAGTTGACAATGCTTGGGTGAAGAGTTCAGCACTGACAGGGGAGGATTCCATATTAAATTGCAAAGAGCAACATGTGGCAGGAAGGTTTCATTCAGAGTTAGCAGTCAGGTACTGGAAAGAAGTTATAAAGCCAGCTTCTTTAGTGATAGATTGGTTAGAAGGATGAATTTCACTGTTTCCAAGAGGGGTTATAAGTCTTGTGGCACAGAAAGTTCCAAAACAACGGGCGTTTTCATTGGAGGAGAAAGAATGGATAAGGAAGGAGTTAGAAAGATTAAAAAAGGCAGGAGTGATAGAATTGGTTGCACAAGGAAGTGTAAGACCAAAGGTCCTTCTCGAAGTGAGTCCTGTGTTCGTGGTGCCCAAGCAGGGCTCAAAGAGGTTTCGCTTGGTTATAGATCTAAGAAGATTGAACAGAATATTATCCAAGAAAACATTCAGGTTCAAAGACTTGGGGACACTGTTGAGATCAGTAGGCAAGAATTGGTAGGTGATAATGTTCGATCTGAAAGATGGTTATTACCATATTCTGATGAACAATCTGCGTAATGTTTTCTGGAGTTTTGCATAGATGAAATGTGGTTTTATTACAAGGTTTTTTCCTTCAGGTTGAGCCACTTTTCATGAATTTTTTCAAAGATTATGAAGGCAATGATTGGAAATTAGAGAGCAAGAGGAATTTTCTGTAGCAACTACTTGGATGATATATGGGTGGCTTATTCATCAAGAGAAGTGCTGCTGGAACAATGGCTGTCAGTTATAGAGAAGGACTTGAAAGGTTGCAGCTGGATTCAAGCAAAAGAAAAAGGAGATTGGGATCCAGTACAGAAGCTAAGGTATTGCGGCCTAATAGAAGATATGGCAAGAGGGTTGGTGATTGTACCAGAAGAAAAGATTGCTTCCATGGTGATGCAGTTGGAAGCATTGTTGGAGGGTTCAGCAGTGTCAGTAAGGAAACTGGCATCAGTGGCAGAAAGAATACAGAGTTTGGTGAGAGCTTTTTCTCCTGCTTAGGTCAAATGTCTCAAGTTTTATTAGTTGATAGATGCAAGGAACTGTTGTTGGGAAGATTAAGACATGGTCATTGCTTTGTCTCTACAGGCAATCAAGGATATTCAATAGTTAGTAGAGAATCTAAAAGTTTGAAATGGGCATCTAGGGTGGAAGCTCTCAAGAGTAAAGACTGTGTTCATAGATGCGTCAACAATCATTAGGAAAATTTTTGAATAGTTATTAATCAATATATATCAAAAATTCGATATATATCGATTAAAATATAACAATATATATCGGCAGGGTAGTTATAAATCAATATATATCAAAATCGATATATATCGATAGATGGATATGTATTAATATTAACAAAAAATCGATTATAATTAAAATTATTTAAATCGATACAAATCATTATTTACAAAAAAATCAATTTTCTTCGATTTTATTTTAATTAGTATATATCATTATTTACAAAAATTCGATTATGATCGAAATTATATAAATCGATACTTATCATTATAAAAAAAAATTGATTATCTTCAATTTTATTTAAATCAATACTTATATAGACTTATCATTATTTATCGAAATATAACATACATAATATACACTTAAATATCGATGTACTTTTAAATTAGAAAATAAAACTATTCAATAAATATT